CAACATCGCCCGAGCATCGCGTGAATAACGATGAATTCAGACGACGGGTGCTAGGATCAGATAGTCTTCCTTTGGGTAAAATAATTTCACAGCATCATCATCGTGGCTAGGGCGCGTCCTACGAATGCCTGAGCACCGTGTGCCACACCGTGCACTACTCACAGACACCGGTCAAGGCTGGAAGAAGCAACGAGGTGGGCAGGCTATGACGTGGTGCAGAGGGTTAAAGAGATTGTGCTCGGATCTGGCTTCCGTTGGGGTTTCTCGGCTCCCCGGCTGGGGCCCCAAAGATTCGGATCGTGTTTGGCTGGAGACACTGCGGGATATGGCATCGAACCGAACTCAGTGGCGCGAATGCATCACCTCCTGTCTACAATCCCAAAAATTAACAAAAACGAAAAAAACTCAAAATGACGTTCAGTAAACAAACAAAAAAATGTTACTCCTCGAAATTGACTGTTTTATTATCCCCGTTTTTTTACCTATATTTTTTTCGTTCACCCATGGTTATTTTTGGCGCCGTATCTGTAAAGATTGGCGTAAATATATAAATATTTAAGTATGACATTTACCGAAAGCTCATGACGGAAGTGTTTTTGCACCGAACGGAGAGAACGAAAACCCAACATCTGGGGCTATAACCGGGTCGGTGAACCACTGGCAGTTCACATGGGAGAGTTTGCTAAGAAGAGGCTTACGTGCCACACACACACACTCACACGTTCCTGGCCGTGATAGTGGTCACCGGCCCGACTCGGCATCACGGTGTATTGGGTACCTTGTACTTTTTACCCCGTTTTCAGGATGTATTATCCGATGAATCGGACACCGGATCCAATTGGATTGCAGTTTTCACACTGCCTTACGGGTGAGGCTTTGGCTGGCCGAAGGTTCCGGTTGTGAACTCCCCAAGAAAACTTACCTACCTTGTCCTGAGCAACCTGGCAGTGTTGCGCCCACAAGCGAATCATGCAACGTTTTTCTTTTTATGAGGATTATTTTACCGTGATTCGTTTGGCACAGTCTGAATTCAGACATGTGTGAAATATACTATACACCGAAATATTTATGATATTTATGAGATACTTGTTTACATATCGAAGGCATGGTAGTACTTTTGCTTTATTGGAGGAGATTGTATGAATGCAAGAATTGGATATATTTGACTCATTGAACAGCACTCTTTATTTTGGTGTTTGTAACAAGTTACTTTGTAGTCTGTTGTTAAATAAAAGAAACGTTTGAGCATTGTATAGTTTACATTCTCATCAGTGTTGAGATTCAACTCAAGTTGTTGTTTTACAGTGGTACAGGTGCTCAGAGTGCCTCGTTTTTCAACTGGCCTACTCTTTCACCCCTACCTCTGCCACGTAAACAGATCCTGTACATGAGCTTTCTTGCTGTCCTCTTCTGATCAATGGGATCAAACGCGGGGATCATCAATTATATCGAGAATTTCTCAAAGGTTCATGGCTCATGCCACCTCTACCAGCTCCATTATTGTCTGGCATTTCCGGTGCGGGAATCTCACGAGCCACGGCTCCATCCGATCCGAACGAGTTGACGAACAATTCGCACTGGGGTGGGCTGTCCATGGCATTGATTCGTTTAGACCGATTAGTTGATCGTATTCTGGTACAGGTCACGGATAATTTGGCCCCTAAGTCTGCAAACCCAGTCACATCATCGACTCCGATTGGAACCAGGGTTGGTGTGGGGACTAAACCCGCGGGAACGACAGAAACCGGGGCAGTGAAAACCTCTGCTCCGGCGGCGGTTCCATCACCTGATCTTGTCAAACCTCCTGTGAATACCCCGTCTGCTGCGCCAACAGTCGTGTCCCAAACAGCTGTGGATATCACACCAACCCCGTCACATGCCAGGTGAGCGTTTGAATGATCCCTATTTGTGTGGTATGCGCCTTGTAGGTGCACTAATCCATGACTGATGACGGTTTTCCCACCACACAATGAAGTTAGTCTAGCGCACAGTTAAAACAACCGGCAATCCCAATACTAGGATTTGTACTAGTGAATACACGCACGTCCACGCAGGAAGGAAGTGATGATTCCAGAGTTTTTTCACATGGCAGCTGGGTTACTAGACTTGCCTTTCGAACTCATTCTTCTCTGTGATTTGGGATTTGAATGCCAAACTGTACTCTTCGGTTGCCCTTAAATCGATTTTTCCTAAAATACCACGAAGTCATCGGATGATTTTTTGCTGTGTCACACCCCACGCATTTTTGTTTTCTTTTCTGGTTATCTGTTAGTTGAGGACGCAGACACGCAGAGATTCACAATAAGCCTGTAGATTCATCACGCCAATATTCTCACTTCTCGGTTTTGTTCCAAACCAACAACATTTTTGGATCGGTGGCCCCCATCCGTACGGTCGGCAAGGCTCGATCGAGGACAATCTTGTTGTTCATTGTTCTGCTTGTCCATTTTCCAGGTCATGGGCCGAATGTCATGATGCTTCGTCCAAACATCCTCGGAAATCCCAAGCATTGATCGGCGCTGAACTCAATGAACAGTGCAGTGGTTCAGTGACTGGCACCGGCCTGTTTTGGACCCGCTACCGCCACCCAACTTTGCTGGTGGGCCGGTTTGTTGTCGTCCGGTTCAATACCACGCCTAATCTATCGGGGCTTTATGTGGTTCGCGACTTCAAGTCCCCGGGGCTTAGGTTACCGGTTTCCATCACTGAGCAGCATGTTTTCGTGACCATGGGGTTTACCCCGTTTGCTGTTCATCACACTTAGTTGTGCAATACTAAAACCACCATCGAATAAAGAAAGAAAAGAAATCATGAATCAGGATCTCGTTCTTTTCCAACAAACCACGATCTATTATTTAACAGTCTTCTCATAACTTGATGCGCTTTAGGGTGCGGTTATGTTATATCTGCCCTGGACTTGCAATCAAGACGAACGCTTATTTTCTAACCTCAAACTTTCTGAGAACGACAGCCAGAGTTTATTGCGTAATCATAGTTTGACACGCGTGTATAAGGCGCAAAATCAACCGTACGAGAACGACAAAATAACGCACCAAACAGCTTGAATCCTTGACTCGCCAATCGATTGACTGGCAACCGTTGTCTTATTCGTTCTACGTTCGCTTAATCTTAGCTCAGCTTACCTTTGGTGGTTAGTTTCCTTGTGAGATTAGTTATAACAGGGTGAATACATTCTAAGTTAGTATCGTAAACGCTAGCTGGTTCCGTTCACGTTCACCGTAATAAACTGTGTTCTAGTTGCAGTTGCTCGGACGGTTTCATTATTTCTTTATCTGGCTCATATGTGTGTCTTGAGTCCGGGAACAATTTCTACTTGCCAGCTATCTTGGTGTTGTTGTTGTTTTGCTGTTTACAATAGTCTCCCATTCTCCTCCTCCTTTTTCCCCTTTGTTCAGCCGAAAATTTGCTCCAGTTTCTTCTCACCCACCGGCTATCTATTCCACTCAGATCCCTCGAAAGTCGTGTACACTTGCTCCCAGCCGCGACAAATCCGAGACCAGACTGCTCCAATGCCCGAAACTGCGCAGAACCACACAATCTCTCTCACCGCTCAGTTTTGATCAAACTGACGATGCTTCTGATCTGAACGAGTTGGAGTCGAAATGGGAAAAAAATTCAGTGAGCATTCAATTGAACTGTATCGTGCATTTTGCACGGTGTGGGAATTTAATCGTTTTTTCCACCTCTAAACCCTATGCAACCTGTATATCTACAACCCACATGGTCAGAGTTTCCATGCCCCCATTCTGGGCTTTTCTTTCATCACTTTTCACCATCTCCCCTTCTAACTTCCCATTACCCACTTCGGCAAACATCTCACATCTAGAGAATCTATCTGGTGGTAGTGGTCAAGCCGTTTAAGTCGCTGTTGTCGGTATACTTTGAGTTCTAGTTTCCAAGATTAGACCTCACCAACACCATCACCACCACCACCACCAAAAGTTAGTAGACAGCAGCTTCACTATCGTCCACTTCTATGCTAGTTGAGCTTCTCATGGTTTGCCATTCCAAGCACCGAGGCTTAGGCTGTCGGGTCTCCTCTTGACTATCTCTTCTGTTGTTCCCCGCACAACGATGCATAATAAAACGGTGCCTATCACGTTGATCGGGTATAGTGCATGCGTCATGTGGATCGTCATGGAGTCGGACTCGTCTTTCTCCTCACACAGAGATTATGTAATCGATGTCGTTCGATTTCCGTATTTTGTCATTTCGGATTGCATTTCTCATCCAAAAAGAAATGTGCGGCCAATCAACCGATGCGTTTCACCATTTTACGATATCGATCCACAAGCACAACTGGCCGTATAGTCAGCGCAATTACCGACACACTTATCCGTGTCAGATGACTTCTCGCTCCAACCCGGTTCTATTCTCTTTCATGGGCTATTTTTTGATGCGCAACAGCTGCATGACAGACGTGTTTAGCACAACAATTGTGCTAATCGTTGTTGTTGTTAGTATTCATTTGTGTATCGATCTCCAGCGATGTTAGCCAGTAAGTAACCCGTGACCTTTGCCGTGAAATACGATGATACGCATATATAGAATGACGCACAAATAGCTCAAATAATCACAATATATATTTTTTAATCCGTATAAATGCCCTAATTTAGATTTTTCCAAGTCCCGTGGATCATCAAATCGACTGATGCAGTCACGTAGTGTATTACACGTTCTGCTAGCTCAACTGTGCTCACACTGTTTTTTTCTTGGTGTGCAATAGATAGCGAAATCAATCACGTTTCTTTTGGTTTGTAACCCAATATCAGTGTGAACTCCCTCCCTCCCCCACCCTACCCCGCCACCAGTGATTATGGTAAATAACAGTCCGTTGTACGATTTCCTGGGGTTCACTCAGATAATCTGTGAAGATCTGAGTTAAGGGAATTGGAGCAGGCTTGATTTATACAATTCTGATAGAAAGATGCATTTGAATTGATGAACTGATGCAGATGTCGGGGTTCTTTTTATTCAGAAAAAGAATTCATTCTCTGCACTGTAAAACTCTTCTTTTATGAAAGCAACAATTTCAACTTTTGCTTAACCTTTTTTGTCCGCATTAAGCTGCTGCTTCCGTTTTTACAACCCATGAACCATGCACCCTCGTGAGCCGGTTTTGGTTGCTGACGTTTGTTCGCCCATTTGGATGCAACAGCAGAATGAAGACTGGAATGTGGAGAGCAGAGTCAAAGGGAAGATTGAGAATTCATTGAGACTGTGGTTACAAGAATATTGAGTAGATACACAAGTACCACTGCGACACTCAGGCATATCACTCAGTGTCTCTACGCTCCAGTGACCATGATCTCGGGGTCCTCATCCAGGTGCCTAACGGTATCTACTTGGCCCAGTGTCCTGTTTGGGGTTTTCATCCCCTCATCAGATCCTATTTTGGCCTTCCTTGTCTTTTTTCCAGGTCAGCATACACTCAACCTTCACAGAGAGCCGGATGTCGCGACGGCGCCACAGATGTCTCCTGTTGGCAAATGCTAACGGAGCCTTCTGTATGCGAGCTGACACTTCATCCGTGATGCCTCCACCGGGTGAGATGTAGCTACCCAAATAACAAAACCTACCCACCTGCTCTATTACTTTCCCAGTTAGAGTGGGACTGGGTGCTGGATCGACCCAATCTTGTAGTAACATTTTATACTTTGAAGGTACAAAATGCATATCGAGCATGGCTACACTGGCATTCAAGCTTTCAAAAAAAACTTGCAACTTATGTGGATCTTCGCTTAGTAGCACAGTGTCGTCTGTATACTCCAGATTAAACAGTTTGTCATCTGGGAGTAAATCGATGCCACTATCCTCGTACGAGGATAGGGCTGTTTCCATGATCAAATCTATTACCAAGTTAAATAGAAAAGAAGAGAGATGGCAACCTCGATAAACTCCACTTTCTGTGGTCCATTCGGGCAAAAAGAGCCGTATGCTGGAAGGCGACTTCGGTTATTAGTACAGAAGGATCGTTATATTGAAATAAACTTCTCGGGTTCACCCTTCAGGGGCAGATAGCACCAGAGTTTAGAGCGGTCGACTGAGTCGAAAGCCGCTTTCAGATCGAAAAAGACAGATGGTGCATCTACGGAAAGGACGTTGGTGCTATAGAATTCTTTGAATATATATTTATCACCGGCTTGAGAATAAGCTTGGTGCCAACACCAGAACAATATTAACAATAACAATAACGCGCGGGGGGGGGGGGGT